CATAGAAAACACTTTTATTTCAGTGGCATAATTTCTCACAGTTTAGTCCAAGCAGTGAAATGTTTTAAGAAATACTTCATTTATTCAACCAAGGTTGAATACTTATTATATAGTTCTAAGGCCAAAAAGATTCTTGATGAAAAGATTTAAATTGAGTACAAAAACAGGTTTCTAACAAAAATAATTTGAGTATAAGTGACACGATGATACAAAAGAGACTTGAAATTCTAAGTTCAGGGAAGAGTCGCTAATGCTTCACGTTTATCGTGAAGGTACAGACATAGGAGGGAAAAAGTGTCTGCAAAGTCCCAAGATGTTTGGGAAAATATAAAGCTAAATGTTTGCTGCACTCAATTTTAAGTGCAAGACACTAGAAAGTGGGTAGTAAGAGATAATCTCCATCAAAGATTATCACATGCTCCCAGTCTCAAAAAACCATGAAATTAGAACCATATGCATAGGCCATCCTTTTAATATAAGATCTTTTTCAATATTGTAAGAATTGACACAACCAAGAGTTTATCAAGGTATATGGAGATCTGGTTTCTTTTACAAAACAACAATGGTAAGAAATGAAAAACTTTCATTTTCAATGTCATTATCTGTTCTCCTCACCAGAAACCGTACGCTCTGCAGGTTCTCATGTAGCTTTTCTGCACTGGTCTACAGAACTGGAGTGGTAAGGAGGAGTTTAACCAACAAATTTATACCTTTGTATTCCCCAATTCAAGCTCACCTTAATCCCTCTAAATCACCCTTCTCTAGTTACTTCATTGTGTTATGTCACTGCTACTCCAGGAACTGTTCTTCCACCTTGACTAGCTGGATAAAACCTGCCTTGTCTGATGAAATCCTTGGGTAAATACACTCTGTTATGATGACGCTGTAGAAGGGGCTCCATGAGGACCCCTCACTGACGCTCAGATCAACAGGAAGGATGAACTTCCCCTAAGAGCCAAAACATTATAACTTCTTCCCAATAACTAAGATTCTGGGGACAATACCTGACAGTCTTGACTGATATATTTTGTAAGCGAAGATATCAGCAGTTTACAAATGGATAACTGATTTCAAATAAGGAACAGAAGAGAATGTTAAAGATGAAGCCCTCTGTACAACATTCACATCAGTATCATTGTTGTTGTTCTAACCGGAGAGGATCAGAAACAACAGTGAATACGAGATCTTTCAACTTCTTTAGCTTACACAATTCTGACCAGAAAACTGAAGCTCAACATACTTTGATGGATGCCAAAACTGGTGTGCCCAGATAAGCTGCAGATATGAGCCAAGCTTTCAGTGGAAATTTTTAAAAAGTGGTATTAATATCCTGAAGAAAAAGCAGAATCAATGGCTGTTCTCCTCTTGCACCTGCAGGGATCCCATCTGGAAGCCGGTTCTAATTCCAGCAGCTCCACTTCCCATCCAGCTCCCTGCCTGTGGCCTGGGAAAGCAGTAGAGGACGGCCCAAAACCTTGGGACCCTGCACCCATGTGGGAGGTCGGGAAGAAGCTCCTGGCGTCTGGCTTTGGATCATTTCAGCTCTGGCTGTTGCAGCTACTTGGGAGTGAATCAGTGGACAGAAGATCTTCTCTGTCTCTCCTCTCTCCTTTCTAATAAAAATAAATAAATCTTAAAAAAAAAAAAACCCACATAGTGGCATAGTGAGCTATATCTCAGCCAGCTCCACTTCCCATCCAGCTCCTTGCTTGTGGCCTGGGAAAAGCCAGGCGCTTCTTCCAGGTCTGTCACATGTGTGCAGGGTCCCAAGACTTTCAGCCATCCTCCACTGCTTTCCCAGGCCACATGCAGAGAACAGGATCAGCTGGGACATATGGAATCCCAGTGCTTGCAAAGTGAGGATTCAGTCATTAAGCCATTGTGCCAGGCCCCAACAACAGTTTTTGGAGAAGTTCAAGGCTTTTTATTTATGGACTCTCTGGAGGGCTAAAGAGCAATGAAACCCCCAGCTTGCTGGCAAAAAAATGCCCGAGAAAGCTTCTCCAGAATTTTCCCCTACCACGACAATTCCTGCTCATTCTTCTTCCCAAACAAGGGCAAGTTTGCGAGGATTCTGAAGGAAAACTAGGTGTCCACCTTGCAATCCTGACTGGCTCCTTTCAGAAGTTTGTTTGCTTGTCAATCAAAAAAATCTTCATGGGGTGGCCTGGCATGGCAGCCTAGCATCTATAGTCCTCACCTTGCACACCCTGGGATCATATATGGGCATTGGTTCTAATCTCAGCGGCCCTTCTCATCCCGCTTCCAGCTTGTGTTTCTGGAAAGCAGTTGAGGACAGCCCAAGGACTTAGGACCCTGCACCCATATTGGAGACCTGGAAGAAGGTCTCTTTGGATCAGTGCAACTCCAGCCTTGCAGCTACTTGGGGAGTGAATCATCGGGAATCATTGGATGGAAGATCTTCCTCTCTGTCTCTCCTCGGCTCTCTGTATATCTGACTCTTCAATTAAAAATAAGTAAATCTTTAAAAAAATTGTGCTCATCCAAGTAACTAAATATACAGGAGCACTTCAAACCATTTCTGTATAACCAGTGCTTTCTAAGCTCTGGGGATATTCTTGGAGCAATATTCAAGAAAAAAATTATGAACTAGCCCGTACAAATATCTAAAAATATTACAGCAATTTCAGCTTAGAGCAAATCTTCTAAAGAAAATACCAAACTAATAAATACATGGATTATGAGCCTGTCTATAAATTAGGTGCTAACAACAGTTACAGCTGAAGTCCTAAAGAAGCAGGTAAACTGGAAACAAAAAAAATAACTGAACAACACATAACAATATACAGACTAGCTCACCACCTGCCAAACAGGTGACATTTAGCTTCACGTCAGCTATTCTAATCTCAGATAACATTCAAGCATACCCAGTCTAACTCCTTTATCTTACAAAGGAAGGAACTTTATACACCAGGTAGTAGCACATATACTAAAGTTTCCTGAATTTTTTTTTTTTTGGTTATCAATTTTTTAGGTATAGTCACTTCAACTGAAAAACGGATTAAGCACCTATCAGAGCTCCCGTCTCTTGACTGCCAAGCCTAGAAACGATCATAATTAAATTTACGCTGACATCTAGTGGCAGGAAAGAATACCTTTCTTCTCTAATGTTACCGGAATTGTACCTTTTGACGGAATTGTACCTTTTGACGCCAAACCTTGGAATTTACAAACCAGGCACTTCCAAAACCCCACAGGAGATTATCCATTTACCCTATTTAAAATTAAAAATTACCTATTAAAACCTCAGTAAAGAAAGGAATAAGACAATAGTTCCCCCTTAGCAGAAAACTGCATTTGCAAATGTAACATTGCATAAGCTCTTTGGGGGGTGGGGAAGGGAGGAGTGATGGTGGTGACATAGTGAATTCCAAAAAAAATCTGTGTGTGAAGGTATAACCTTAAAGATAACTTAAAAAGGTCAGAAGAGCCAACTGCTTAAAGATTAAGCATGCATACACTATCTCACTTGTTACTGAAAGGGATGTCATTTACAAATAAATTAGGCAATGTGTTTTAGTTGTCTCCTTGTACAAAATAGTTTCTCCCCTTTAATAATGCTTTATTTTAAAAAAGGTAAAAAGACAACCAAAGAAACCTTCACAACTGCCCACAGCATTTATAAAGCATAACTGAAGATTCCAAGCTTTACAAAGCCATTGTTTGGCTGAATGGCTCATTTCAATCATGCTAGGCCCAACTTCCAGTCCGTGAACGTACAGCAGGAATTCAGATCAAACACCATTCTCTGCAAAAATTGTAAGGACTATTTAAGATTCCATATGAGACCCTCTGGAAAAATCAGGGAAATTTTTGAAATATCTATTTTCAGCCCATCCTATAGACTGTTGAAACGTTATGGTGACAAGGAAAAAAAAAATCTATGCATGTAAAATGATATTTACAACTTTTTCTTCTAAAAATAAATATTCATTCCTTTTAAAAAACACAATATAATCTAAGCTAGAGGTGCAAGACTAAAATATGGCATATTGATGAATAAGAAAATGCTATACACAGCACATTCAGAAATATGTCTTTGTCCTTTCAAAAACAATCTGGAGTGCCGATCTAGCCTCTACAGACTCGGTTCGCAATCACTTCACAACGTCCATTTCTCTCAGTCCGCTTACCACTTCAAGATAAATGCTCGGAATGGCAGTGAAATATCTGGCTGAACTATGACATTTCATCAAAGCTTCAGATACATCACTGGCATGCAGTACCATCCCAACGGCAAATTTATAAGTTTAAAAAAAACCATGGATTCAACCTACGTGATTTTAAGGTACAACCCCCTCCAAGCTAGTTAGTGGGTGTCAATCACTAGTTAGTGACTTTTAATTGCGAGAGGACAAGTGGGGAGGGGGAAGAGAACCCTTGAAGAGGCAAGTTGCTTCAATAAGAACGGGGCACGGATGGAGCCAAACCGGGATGGGCATTTGCTAAGGGATCTCCTTTAGTGGTCAACCAGAGCCCTGGGGTTGGATTCTTCAGAACCGGAATTTGGGAGAACTGCCCGATCTTACTTTTCTCCAACAAGGGAACTTGGGTGGTTGGGAAAACAATACGCTATTCTTGCAAGAGAAACCAAACCTGGTCGAGATTATCTGCCTACTTCTGAGTTCTCTCCCCTCTACCCCCAACCGCGGACTGGGAAGCGGCTGTATAAATACAAAAGGGCAGGCAAAGACCCCCTGCGGGACGCGCTGTCAGCTGGGCACACCGGGCAACCCAACTCTGCTCACTTCGGGGCGGGTGGCCAGAAGCCAGCCTAGGGCCAAGTGACCTCGGGAAGCCGCCCCCCGGGGGGCCCAGCCCACTCCCGCAGACCGTCGCTGAGGGACAGATTTGGGCGGGAGGGGTGCGCACCCCGGGATCCGGCACCGGCTGGGGCTCGCGGGGGTGCTCTCCCTGGGGAACGCGCTCCTTTCCCCCAGCCCCGGGGAAATGGCGGAGGGGACCCACGGGGGCCTCACCAGGCGGAGCTGGCTAATTTCGTCGTAAGACATAAAGCTGAGGATGTTCTCGATGGCTACGATGGGCAGCGCCACCAGCGTGTTGTTTTGAGGCAGCTGGTCAGGAGCCAGCGCCGGCACTGGGGACACCTGGGACCCCGGCTGCGGGGTCTGGGACGGCGCCGGTGGGGGCTGTCGTTGGACACAGCCCGGGGCCGAAGAGGAGCCACCGTCGCTGTGGCCGCCGCCTCCTTCCTCAGCCATCCTCTCCTCCGACGCTGCCGCCATCTTGGGAGTTTGATTCCTTCCCCCACTGCAAGGGGAACAGGGACACTTCCTTTGCGTCACTTCCTCCTCCTGCAGCCGCCAGGGAGGGGTACCTGGAGGAGAAGGAGGAGCATTTGGGGATGACCGGCAGCAGGAGAGGCGTGCGTTTGGGTGGATGCCCCAGAAGAGTAGTTGTTATCTCCTCTTTCTTTCAAAAGTAGAAACTACTTGAGGACATCTGTTCAAAAAACTTCATCCTGGCAGTCTTACCCAAAGAGGTTCCTGACAAAGGTTAATACTATCTTCTAGTAAGTATTAGATGGAATATCATCTTTTTCAAGCATAGTAATAATCGCGTTAAATAAACAGGGATGAAATATCGTTAAAAACTGCAACATGAAAATATGGTAAGGAGAAGAAGTCAGATGGATCACCTAGTATGGGACTCCATTTCTATGAATTACCTGGAACAGGCAAATCCATGAAGACAGAAAGATGGTAGAGACTGGGGGTTGGGAATGAAAAAGAGAAAGTAAATCCACGTGGGTACCGGATTTGGCAGGGGAATTGATAAGCATGCCCTTAAGTTAGGTAGGGGTAATGGTGGGACAACCTTGTGAGTATGCTAAAATCCACTGAAGTACAAAATCTAAAGTAATGAATTGTAAATGAATTGTAGGCCTGGTGCGTGGTTAAAGTCCTTGCCTTGCATGCGCCAGGATCCCATGTGGGTGATGGTTGTAATCCCAGCAGCCCCGCTTCACATCCAACTCCCTGCTTGCAACCTGGGAAAGCAGTACAGGATGGCCCAAAGCCTTGGGACCCTGCACCCGCATGGGAGACCTGGAAGAACTCCTGACTCTTGGTTCCTGGCATCGGATTGGCTCAGCTGCAGCCGTTGTGGATGCCTTGGCAGTGAATCATTAGATGGAAGATCTTCCTCTCTGTCTCTCCTCCTCTCTGTATATCTGCATTTCCAATAAAAATAAATAAATATTTTTTAAAAAGAATCAAAGGGCCCGGCGGCGTGGCCAAGCAGCTAAAAGTCCTCACCTTGAATGTGCCGGGATCTCATATGAGCGCCGGTTATAATCCCAGCAGCTCCACTTCCCATCCAACTCCCTGCTTGTAGCCTGAGAAAGTAGTCAAGGACGGCCCAAAGCTTTGGGACCCTGCACTCGTGTGAGATACCAGGAAGAAATTCCTGGGTTCTGGCTTCAGATTGGCATAGCATCAGCTGTTGCGCTCACTTGGGGAGTGAATCATCAGATGGAAGATCTTCTTCTCTGTCTCTTTTTCTGTATATCTGACTTTGTAATAAAAATAAATAAATCTTTTATATATATATAATTTTTTAAAAGAATAAAAAAATTAAATGAATTGTGTATCCCATTAAAATAATTGATCAATTGAAGGTGGTAAAAGTAAAAGTTAAGTATATAATGAGGAACATATTATGTTGTCAAAATAACTCATATATGGCCTGGCATGATGGCTTAATTGGATAATCCTCTTCCTTCCATGTGCCAGATGATGTACCTGATGGTGTCCTGGCTGCTCCACTTCCCATCCAGCATCCTGCTTGTGGCCTGGGAAAGCAGTGGAGGACAGGCCAAAGTCTTGGGACTCTGCACCTGCATGGGAAACCCAGAGGGAACTTCTCACTCTAAGCTTTGGATTGATTCAGCTCTGGCCATTGCAGCCACTTGAGGTATGAACCAGCAGATGAAAGATCTTTCTGTCTAGCCTTCTCTCTGTGGATCTTTCAAATGAAAATATATAAATCTTTTAAAAATTACTCATATATATGAGCATATATATACATAACAGATTTAAAAGTAAGAGTAAAGAAATTTGGTGGAATCCATCAAAAACTAAATGAACGTACTAATGTAACATGTTATGAAGAGAACCGGCATCTTGTGCTTTTAATATGATACCCTGGAAAGGATACAATATGATGCATAATCTCCAGTGTTTTGAAAGATTTATTTATTAGAGTTATACACAGAGAAAGACAGAGAGATGGAAAGGGAGAAGGAGGGGGAGGAGAAGGGAAGGAAGGAAGGAGGGAGAGAGAGAGACCTCTTCCATCCATTGGTTTAACCTAAGATGGATACAATGGCTGGAGCTGGGCCAGGCCACAGCTGGAACATTTTTCAAGCCTCCCATATGGGTGGTATGAGCCCAAGAGCTTGGGTCATCTTCTGCTTTTCTCAGGCTATTAGCTGAGAAATGGATCAGAAATGGAGCAGCTGATCCACAAAACAGTACCCACTATGGGATGCCAGCACTGCAGGTTACAGCTCTACCTGCTATACCACAATGCCAGCTCCCATAACCTCCATTTAAGGTTGGCAAATCTAGATGACTAGATGGCTGGCCTATATTCTTCAAAAATACAACCATCAATGATAAAGAGGATTGGAGGTTTAGCCTGGCAGGTAAGACATCCAGATCCCACACTGGAGTGCTGAAGTTTAGTTCCTCTTTCCTGTGCCTGATTCCAGCTTCCAGTTAGTGTAGATCTTGGCAGACAGCGGTGATGACTCGGTAATCAGGCTCCTGTCACACATATAGGAGACCCCAGCTCGTGAATTGCATCCTGGCCAAGCCCTGCCCAAGGTGGGCATTTGGAGGAGTAAACTAGCAAAAAGGAGCTTTGTCTGTCTGTCTGTCTGCCTTTCAGAGAGTTACAAGAAGAAAGACTAAGGATTTGTGGCACATGAAAGGAAACTGCAGACATATGGCAACTCTCCAAGAATGGTCCTAGATTGGATTGGGGGAATTGGCAACAAAATATTATTATCTTTTAAATATTTATTTTTTTATTGGAAACACAGATCAACAGAAAGAAGGAAAGAAAAACAAAGATCTGCCATCCACTGGTTCACTCCCCAAGAGACCTCCCTCAATAACTGGAGATGAGCCAAGCCAATCTGAAGCCAGAAGCCAGGAGTTTCCTCTCTGTCTCCTGCTGGGTGCAGGGTTCCAAGGCTTTGGGCCGTCCTCCACTGCTTTCCCAGACCACAAACAGGGAGCTGGATGGGAAGTGGGACATGAGCATGTGCCCATATGGGATCCTGGCAAATGCATTCAAGGTGAGGATTTAGCTACTGAGCCATTACACTGGGCCCAGTCTGTCGTTTGTGTGACCAATTGTTTTGGAATCTAGTTGTTGTACAGAGTAAATGGAGATGGCAGAAAAAGCTAAGTGAACTAAGGGTTATAGGAAAGGAGAGACATCTAAGACAAGGAAATTTAGTCAGTGTTTTGATATAGGTGAGCTTCACTCAGTGGGCATGGAAACAGTTGGTCATTTTACCTATGTTTGTTGCAGGTCCTTTGAAGTTACCTCTTTGATTCTCCTGCCTTGGGTTATTTAGTATTCAGCAGATGCTTTCTGCTTAACTGCTTCTGACACGTTTGCAGATGTGCAGTAGGACAGTTTTATCTTCACTAGTAGATAATAATTTCACTTTCTACTTAGGATATTGCCACATCTTTATAGAAACTATTCCAGTTTGGCCCGGCGCGATGGCGCAGTGGTTAAGGTCCTCGCCTTGCATGCCCTGGATCCCATATGGGCACTGGTTCTAATCCTGGCAGACGGAAGATCTTCCTCTCTGTCTTTCCTCTCTATATATCCGCCTTTCCAAAAAAAAAAAGAAACTATTCCAGTTTAAGTTGAATTCATTTGTTTCTTGTTTTATTAAAATTTTTGGGGCCCGGCGCGGTGGCGCAAGTGGTTAAAGGTCCTCGCCTTGCACCCCCGGGATCCCATATGGGCGCCGGTTCTAATCCCGGCAGCCCCGCTTCCCTTCCAGCTCCCTGCTTGTGGCCTGGGAAAGCAGTCGAGGACGGCCCAAAGCTTTGGGAACCTGCACCCGCATGGGAGACCCGGAAGAGGCTCCTGGCTTCGGATCGGCATAGTATCGGCCCGTTGCGCTCACTTGGGGAGTGAATCATTGGACGGAAGATCTTCCTCTCTGTCTCTCCTCTCTGTATATCCGCCTTTCCAATGAAAAAATAATAAAAATAAATCTTTAAAAAAAAAAAATAAAATTTTTGGTGGTTTAGACTGAAATAGAAGTTCTGTGAATGAAATCATTCTTTAAATATATTAAGGGAACTATCATTTAAAGAATATCTATAGAAAATCTTTTAAAAGTGAATCTCCAAGGGGCCCAGCACTGGCACGACAGCCTAGTGGTTGAATCTTTGCCTTGCATGATCTGGGATCCCATAAGGGTGCTGATTCGAGTCCCAGATGCTCCACTTCCCATCCAACTCCCTGCTGTGGCCTAGGAAAGCAGTAGAGAGGATGACCCACGTGGGAGACCCGGAAGAAGCTGTTGGCTTCAGATTGGCTCAGTTCCGGCCGTTGCAGCCACTTGGGGAGTGAACCAGTAGACAGAAGATCTTTCTTTCTTTCTGTTTCTCCTTCTCTCTGTAAATCTGCCTTTCCAATAAAATAGATCTCTTAAAAAAAAAAAAAGGATTTCTAGGGCTTAGCACAATGGCTCAGTGCACAGTGGCTCAGTTAGCTAATCCTCCCTTGCAAGTGCTGGGCTTCTGTATGGGATCTGGTTCACGTCTGGCTGTTCCACTTCTCATTCAGCTCCTTGTTGATGTGCCTGGGAAAGCAGCAGAAAGTGGCTAACGTTCTTGAACTCCTGTATTGGGGGAACCCAAAAGAAGCTCATGGTTTCAGCCTGAAGCCCCGGTTATGGCCGTTTGGAGAGTGAATCAGTGGATGGAAGATATTTCTCTCTGCCCCCACCCGTAACTCCGCCTTTCAAATAAAGAACATAAATATATTTTTAAATAAAAAAAAAAGAACCTTCATTGCCAAAACTTAATTCATCTAAGTTGTGAAAACTGCCATTACAACGAATGTAATCATATGGTTGAAGTGGGCTTGCGAAAAGCCTTGTTATTTCCTTAATTCTGTATTCTGCAGTCAACTAGTTAACATCCACCTGTATTCACTTAAGTGAGAGACTAGAACTTCGGGAACAAGTTCA